TTGTTGAATTCTTCGCAATGAGCAACCACTACTAAAATAGTTTTTGGACAATAGAGTCCTATGCATTTGTTAAGGGAGAGCCCTCTCAACAAATATATGACAGTTTGGAGATTGGGAAAGTGGTATGAGGATGAGGTAAGAAAATATTTAGATAGGTCTAATTCTATTCAAGTTTTCCAAACTTACAAATCTCTAATCTAATCAATACTTAATGGACCATTTCAGTCTCAATCCTATGATTTATAGTAACTATAAATTTCATTCCGTGCAAAGCAAGGGTGAAATACTAGGCTCATATTATCTTGTTCTCATCTATCGTTATGTTTACATGCATTCCCAATTTATTACTCCTTATTTTTATATCATTGCAAAAGTTATTATAATATTATAAGGATTAGTTGATATATTACTACTATTGTAGTTTTGTAGGATGTATATTTATATTATTTAGGAAAAATTGATCGTAATAATCTCAACTATTGGTTGTCCGCTCATAATAATCTTAACTATCGATTATTTCAGAATAATCCCAACTTTAGGGCCCTTCCGCCAATAATGGTCCGAGGTGACCGATTATAAATAAATTCTTATAGTTTCTAAAGAGATATAGTAGGTAATCCCTATAAATAATTCCGAATTTCAATTTTAACGCTTAATTTCTATTAAAAAATCACTTGTTAGAGCAGGTAATATACGGTCATGGATCATTATTGGCGGACGGTCCATATAGTTAGGATTATACAATAATAACCAATAGTTGGGATTATTGTTAGCGGACCGGCAATAATTGAGATTATTATTTTCAAATTTTCCTATTATTTACTAATTTGCTATTTTTACAAGTACATATATTATCATACAGTAATAATTTGATAAGCTACTACTTTGCTATTTTATACGTACTACGTAATTAGTTACGTATATTTATATAACTAGTTTTATTAATAGATACTTAGTACTTCGTTTGTTTTCACATTTCCATAAGTTTCAAGTAATCTATATTTGTATGTTCTATTATCATTACGTTTCAAATAAATAAATTGGTCACTTTTTTATACCAATTCTAATTTATTACTTGTTATACTGTATCTTTAATGTATTACGGAGTATCATTTAAATGCAATTATAATTACACATACTAAAAGCATAAAAAATACACATCGGCTATGTAAACAGTGTTTCAGACACAATTAAAAGGATATTTTCTCTGCAATGTGGTTTAAAAACCATAATTTACAACTGAACTGGTGGGCGTAGTTCAACGGTAGCGAGGGAGTGCCACAACGGTTAGATCACGAATTTGAATCTCGGCAACTGCGATGAGAGGTTACTATGCTAAAAAATGTATAAGACGTCTGCAAGTATTGGGGATAGAGTCTTACTCTCTATCTGTCAGATTGTGATTATAGTTCAATTTACATCCTCCCAACCTATCGTCCTGTCGGCGTTGGGGGCCTTCAGGGACGGGGTGTATCCAAAAGGCACAATCTGAAAGAGATCCGTGATTTCAGCTCCTAGCATAGCCAATAATAGATAAAATCAGAAGCAATAAATGGATTAAGGCAGGAAGAATCAGAGGCAAAACAAATTATAGAAAAATGAATTTGGAACCAATGCTCTGAAAAAGCTTCGTCAAAATGGAAAAGGTTTGCAGATTAGTCTGGTTGAGGGTAGATTGCATTGAAGTTGCGATGAATTTAGTTCAAACCTTGTAGCCTTTCTGTATAGTTATCAAATTAAAAACAGAAAGTTAAATAATAATTTGTAACTTGAATGCTTCAAGTTTGAGGAGGATGCGAAATTATGGCTTCTCTAGGTTGCTGAAGAACATGCGTAAAAAGTTGAATTCTGCAGCATTTATAGGCTGTAAAAATTGGACAAATACTTTCATGCGTTTATAGTTTGAGTAGAAAAAAACCAGTATGTATTACACTGAGCCATCCGTTTAACAGATCTGAGAATGGACAGGGCATTTGACAGTGATACCGAGATAATTTATATTACGATGATGTTTCGATCTGATTCTTAAAACTGATTTTGCTCCTTCAGGGAGCAAAAACAGAAGTTGGAGTGGCTGGGTGAAAGTACAGAAGTGATTCTCATACTCTAATTTACTCCTAGAATCAATTTTTTTAGAACCCGGAGGTAACCAGCTTCTGAAAATTGATTCTGATTCTGCTTTAAAAAAGAAGCAGAAGCTAAATCAGTTCCAAACACCCCTACAACTCAACACCGCGTAAAAAATAGATGGTTCTACTGGACTACTGGAGAAGTTATTTTTATCACAATGTCTATTTTATCAAGGTAGCAATGCATTAAGCATGCAATAATACTGATACATTAAATGGGAAATATTGCATTGGACAGGGAGCAAGCCAGCAAATCCAGAAACGAATTGGTTCACTGATAGAGACTTTACTAAACTGAAGAAAAGAAGATAAATACTCTAATAAAGTGTATTTTAGAAAGAAATAGGATCTGTTATTAATCTAGTTTGTTATGAGCTAATAACTACCGGGGGCTAGCCTTCCTGACTATAAATAGACTACACTTAGAAATTGGGAGGAGGCTGTTTTTAGACTGTGTCTTGGGACTTGGGAAGGCTGAGATTATATTCTCTTTCTTTTGGGGGGCTTCGACTCATTGGGGGCTTCAGCCAGTTTTTTGTTACGATTACTGATCTTGTTCTTCTTCATCAATAAAATTCCTTTGTTTCTTGTTAAATTTCTGTTAATCGTTTGGATTGTTGGAGATCTCTAACATTGGTATCAGACCTGTTACATCCTGGAGACAAAGAATCTGAATCATGGAGGAGGATTTCTACCTGACATCGAAAATGGAAAAGAGTTTTGATAATATTGACCGAATTATGAGGGAGACACAAGCGAGTATGGTCGCGTCGCAAGAAAAGATGAAGACGATGATGGCCGCTATGCAAGAGGCGATGCAAGCTAGCGTCGCAGATTTGCAGATCAGAATCTCGAGGAGTCATTCGCATAGATCAAGTACTGCGCACCATGGACACGCAAGAAATTGCGATCAGGGAGAGAGTGGTAACATCGCACGTCAAGCGGAGAACCCTAGAAATCATCCATCTCAGTCGCTCACCAAGTCGCATAAGGATGTTTCGCACTCGCGAGAGGATTCGCGTTGAAAACTGGGGAAGCTCGCGGAAGAGGTTGAGCGAGGAAAAGTGGAGAAATAGAAGCGCGAAAAAATGGAGAAAGAGAAGTGCAAAAAGATGGAGAAAGAGAAGCGCGAAAAAGTGGAGAAAAAGAAGAGCGAAAAAGTGGAGAAAAAGAAGAGCGAAAAAATGGAGAAAAAGAAGAGCGAAAAAGTGGAGATAAAGAAGAGCGAAAAAGTGGAGAAAGAAGCCTTCAAACATGGAGAAGGGGAAGCCCAAGCTGCTGAAACAACATCGGCGAGGAAGGTCAAGGACGGTACGTCACTGTATAAATTCGAAGAACAGAGGTTTGTCTCAGTTGCAAGAGATTTCTTCCGGTCCTCTGGCTTCGACTCAAGTAGAAAACCTTAGTTCGCAATCTCTATTTGAGTCCCCAGAGTCGCAGCAGAAGTTGGTCAATCAGCAACTACAGCCCACGGAGGATACACACACTTATGGCAAAGAGGAAAGCAAGAAGAAATCTTCAGTTAATCTTAGACTGAAAGATGGAGCAATTACTCGTTTCCTCATTTGTAATAACACTTCCAGGTACGAAGTAGTTAATTCAGAATTGGAAACCAATATGCTGCTGTCCCTTGAGCGTAGCCATTCAATTGGTGACTACATTCAAGTCAAGAAATACCAGACTGGGAAGTCAAATCCTATATCTCAAGGGAAGGAGAGGATTGCGGAGGGAAATGGAGGGTTATTCTTTTCCGATCGTAGAATTTCTTTTTGGAAAATTCTCAAAGGATGCGGCTACATCAATTTGGATCCTATGTTTCATGATTTCTCCAGCCTGAAGAATAGCTGCAAAGATTAGAGTGCTTTTAAAAAATATGAACTTCCTTCATCTGACAAGGAAGGATGGAACCAAAGAAGTAGGGATGATGTACTTGTTGATGCAGGAGCTGACTTTGTATTCTCAGCCACAAAGTGTTGCTTGGTTTATGTGTTGCTTCATAGTAGCAAAGATTGTGCCATTTTAAAAATAACCTAGGGTCTTCCACTATCTGTTTCAAGGCACAAGGTGAAAATGGACTTTCCCTTTGAGAAATGTACAGTTGCAGAGAGTTTTTGGTGAGGAATTTCTATGGAAATTGTATGGTGGAATAATATGGGGAGTACTCAAAGTGTGGCAGAGGGTGGCATTGTTTTACTGAAAAGCATCATGGTTGTCAGTCATAATTCAATGGGAGGAAAGTCAACTGGAGTGGAAGCAATTTGTAGTTCAAAAATTCTTGATGAGCAGATTAAAGAGGATGAGAATCATGATGTTCAAGACAAAAACACAAATTCTGCTACCGTTGTAAGTGTTATACTTCAGGGAAGCATGAAAATAATTGTAGCCATTGAAGACCTGAAGACTAAAGAGAATGAAAGTTCACCGGAGACAATATATGTTGCAGTAACATATGTGAATTGGAAAGATCAAGTAATGAAGCTCATCTATCAGAAATTAATGAGATATTAGGAAGGACGAAACATCAGGATGAAGAGGAAGCAGAAGATGGAATTGAAACCTGAGGGCTAGTTTGTTATGAGCTAATAACTACCGGGGGCTAGCCTTCCTGTCTATAAATAGACTACAATTAGAAATCGGGAGGAGGCTGTTTTTAGACTGTCTTGGGACTTGGGAAGACTGAGATTATATTCTCTTTCTTTTGGGGGGCTTCGGCTCATTGGGGGCTTCGGCTAGTTTATTGTTACGATTAATGATCTTGTTCTTCTTCATCAATAAAATTCTTTTGTTTCTTGTTAAATTTCTGTTAATCGTTTGGATTGTTGGAGATCTCTAACATTCACCCTACCTATTCATCCAAACATAAATAATCTCTTCATCAAATCAAAGCACAGTGACAAAGGTTGTGTCATCCAGACATGTGTGAACATTCAGAATCTGAGCACAAGAGTGAATAATTGCAAAGGAACAAGTTCATCATTGTAATAACATTTTATGATCACACTTAGAAATCAATTACAAAATGCATCAAATACAAATCCAAGTGAACCAAAGTATTACATTTAATATCAAGTTCAGACATCAGACATTTTAGAACATTTATATTCTTGATAGGTAGAGAGAGAGCGACTCCCAAAAAGAAACATTTTTAAGTGCTTCAATTCTTTTTCTCTGAACCACCAAATAGATAACCAAGTGAAGAGCCACCACCAGGTGCAGCATGGACCTTGGTTGATGGCCTATCCTGCAATCATAATCAAGATCATTTATGCACACTAATTAGACTCATCACCCAGGTGCAGCATGGACCTTAGATACAATTAAACACTTAAACCAACAATGAGATACTAATGGCTTACCGTAATGAAGTTGCCACAGTTCTGACCTTCAGCACGAACATAATTGTTTGCGTTGGAGCTGTGAATGCCAGCAGGAACTTTGCTATTGTCCACAGCAGCAGGGGGTGGTGTAGTGGAAACCACCTTATCTGCAGGAGGGGTGTTTTTCTGAACTGCTTTATCTGCAGGAGGGGTGTTTTTCTGAACTGCTGCTGCTGCTGGAGTAGTTCTATTATTGGTAGGAGCCGCTTCTCCACCTCCAAACAGGTACCCTAAAGAACTCTGCCCACCACCAGCACTAACTCCACGCCTCATCCTCTACTGTTTGTTGCTTTTTCTGTACACTATCCTCTGCCTTCTACTGCAATGAATCCAAACACTTCTCTTAGTAAACATATAGTAAACATATTATCAAATTACTAGATTGGTCAGTTGGTCATTCAAGAATTCATGGCTAAGATTAGTCTTCTATTCTAGACTCATGTGATCAACTATTCATCTACAAATAAAAGAACAATCTAAAGGAAACCAATTAGTCTTCCATTGTGGACCTATGTGGCCATGTACTATTAAAATGATCATCATCTGAGATCTATCTTAGTTTTGTAAAATCTGGACCCGGAATCTGGTCATGTCCGACCAGGATCTTCTCAAAAACTCAACTGAGTACCTCTATATCTATAAAAGTTGATCCGCCTGAGATAACTGTTCATGCCTGACAATGATAACGTTACTATAGCGTCATCATTATGTCATCACGGGATGATGTGACACGTGATGAAGTTAATCTGCAGAATTTAGACTGTCCTCCGTACTAAGGCAACAATGGTGGCGTATTGGTTGCTCATTAAATTACACCTTATTACAACTTAATTTAGAAAATTAATCAACGTTTAACTGAAATCACAGATAAACAACGAAACTCAACAACACCCTCTAAACTTGATCTATTCACTGCCGATAAGATAGAAGAAGAAATGTACGAACAAACAAAGCAAGATGCTACAAAATAAGAAGACAGTTGGTAATTATTGACTAACCTCGGGATATTAGACGAACGGCGTGGTGTAGACTGCGTCCGCCGGAAGAGGAGCCGGCAATAGGAGAGAGCTGGTAGATCCGATGAATTGAAATGAGCGGTAGAGAGAGATGGCAGATCGGATCAATTGGTACACAAGCGAAACGGTATAAATACAAGCTGGAGTATAGTTAGGTTATTCCAGATCATGGGCATGTGATTTTCTAATTGGACCGGAGCACACTATGGGCCAATAATTTTAAATCATTTCATTCTGACCATTTTAAATTCCACTCCATCCCTTTTCTAAATAATTTACTTTATTCAAAAAGAAAAATTACTAACTTTTCTTTTTTTAGTGATCCTGCTAATTTTATCATTTTCCATTTTATTTAAATAATTTATGTTACTAATAATTCTTCTCATCAACACAAAACATAGCCACACACATTTTGTTTTATTATTCCTCGTGTGGTCAAATTTGACCAATAAAATTATAGTCATAAATAAAAAGTACTCCGTATTACACATTTAGTAAATTAAAAACTAACAATGTTTTTGATGAATTTTTCTCGGCCTTTTTATTCCAATATTACTAAAATGAAAGAAAAAGACTAATTTGTGATCTCTATTAATTTTTTCCAAAAATGTGACTAAAAGACATATTCCTTGTGCTTAATCATACATTTATCATTTTAATATTCATTTTATATATTTGATTAGTAGTCCTATGACCGCCGACGCAGCACCGCTTCCACCGCCGGCACCACCACCCCTGCCGCCGCCGCCGGCACCACCGCCACTGCCAACGCCGGCAAAGTGACTCCGGAGAAAGTGACTCCGGTCAAAGTGACTCCGGCCAAAGTGACTCCGACAAAAGTGACTCCGACCACAGTGACTCCGGCCGCAGTGACTCCGGCCAAAGTGACCCCACCGGTCACAGTGATTCCGTTCAGTGACCGTCAGTCACTATCACCGTCGTCCCACCCCCACCCCCTCCAATCCCCTCCCCAGCCCACCACCCACTCCCCAAACCACCAGCCCCCTCCCCAGTCAACCAGCCCCCTCCCCAACCCACCGGTGCTACTACCACGTCAACCACGATGGCTGGTCCCGCCACCGCAGCCGGTGACATGCCGATGCCGCCGGTGGCCTGCCGCCACCACTGACCAGGCAACTTCCACTGTCTGGCCCAGCCACCGCCACCAGCTGACCGAACCACCGCCACTGCCTACACCAAATCCTTGTCTTCCGCCACTTCTCTCTGCTCCGTCCCTAGCTAAACCAGCCCTGTCCAGTTTCAGATCTGGTCAAGATCGACCAGGATCTGCCTTCCGCCACTCCTCCCTCCTAAATACGATGAAGCACGTCACCGGATGAATACATCTCACCACGGGAGGATGTAATTTCTGTCAGATCTATGAAGCTCGTCTCCACCGTTGGAGGAGTTGGTGCGGCTTGGAGAAGGTGAAGCTCGAGAAGCAATTAGAAGCAGAAGAAACGAAGCGGAGCGAGCAACGACGGTTTGTGGACAAGAAAGGAGAAGAAGATAATGAGAGAGGAGAGGAGCAGGTGTAGCCGCCGTCGCTCTTCGTAACCGCCTTCGTCGCTAATTGTAGTCGCCGCCGTCGATTGAACAGATGATGCATAGGAAGGAGATGGCCGACGATGATGCAAGCCGCGGTGGACCGAGCTCCCCTTCCGAGCAGATGATGCAGAGCAGATGGCCTCTGCGCTGGAAATTGAAATGGAGTCGCAGGAGGTGCGCTGGGAGCCTCGGATCTATGGGAAGGAGATGTGTTGGGCCCTCTTCAGATTTGTCATATTTTTGGAAAATAGAGAAAAGGTTATGATTTTGGAATTCAAAAGTCCAATGATTATAAGGACGCCATTTTTTCATTTTTCTCCTTTCATTGTTTTGATTAAGATTCACATGACGTAGAGAATTTCCATGATGTCTACTATGTATCACTCAATTCAAAATACGTTCATCGCAAGTCATCTTATTCAAATTTGAGCCGCGGCACGCTGTCACGGCGGCATACCTTAATCACCCATCATCTTATGTGATACAATTTTTATTCATAAAAATAAACTGGTAATACTATGCAATAGTCAAATGGATCATCTTACACAATTCAAAGTTCTATTTATAAAAGCATAAAATTGACATTTTGTACTAATTCCATGACGCCGACGTCTCCCATTTAGCTTATCTATTCTAATGTTTAGTGCGCAAATGATAAGTCAATAATTGGCTAACCGGACATCATTATTATGTTATATATTTATTGACTACTTCACTAGATATATCTGGTTTATCCACTTAAACAAAAATCTAAAGTTGACAATATTTTTCCATAATGTCATCACCTAGTTGAATAATCATTTAGATATTGGTGACTTATACATTGACCTATTTCATTATTTCACAAAAAAGAACATTTTCATATCTCACTATTACTTGTTGGATCTTCCACAACATAAGTACATGTTTGTACATTTTTGGACTATGGGATTTTCGGAGACATTTGAGACATTTATGGATTTGTCTAGATTTGTTTGGATTTGGACATGAGACATATTAAGAAATTTTTGGACTTTACGAAATTAACTTTTCGTTAATGAGATAGGTTATACCATTGGGAAAGTGAATCCTTCATTCAAGAAAAACCTAGGCATTTAACAAAGAGGAACAAAAAAAGAAGACATTCGTTTATAAAGAAAACAAAATAGCAAATATTTGACTTTGTGGAATGAAGAAAAACGATGGTAATCGAAAAGCAAGAGGGCGAAGAAAATGTTTACCTCTGTGGATTGATGCAACTGCCTTCTTCACTTTCGAAGGTGTGAGATTGCCTTCATGCTTGGCTGGACGAAATCTCACGTAAATCTCACATAGAGGTGTGAGATTTGGGTAATGAGATTTCTTTCATTATTTGGGCTTACAAATTTGGATATGTCCAAATCCACCTACAATTCATGTGTTTATGTCCAAAAGGAATACACCTAGACATTTTTGGGAGTCTTAAAATGTCTTTATTAAATACACCCAGATTTGACAAATCCTAAAATGTCTTAAAAAGTCTTGAATGAATACAACCCCCTTAGTATTAAATATCCATTCATATAGAAAATTGTAAAAGATTATTAATCTAAATACTTATTAAAAGAAATTAAGCAAGATGACTTTGAAGCAATACACAACACCAATAATATTCAAATCTTAGTTCCAAAAGATTTTGAGATCAACTAAAATGAATGATATTCATATTTCAATTCATGAAAAAAATGGTCAAACTTAATCAAATTTGACTTGAAAATTCACACAAATTCTTTCATCTTGCGAAGGCGAGACTTCGTGTATTACTGAGTGAGTATTACATTACATTACACAGTATACGAAGTATATATATCTACGATCTTGCTTTGCAAAATTTCCGGTGTATACAAAATTTGTGCTTTTCCTTTCCACCTCACTTCTCTCTATACTCACATTGAACTCTCATGATGTTTTTGAAGGGATTCTTGCGACTTCTACCAATATTTTGTGAAGGGATTGAGGCTTGGAGAAAAATGGCGAGTGATCTGCGCCTTTAAGATGATAAACCTTTTCTGGAGGGCTTTGGTCAATCATGGTCTGCTGTAGAGAAATGGGGATAGCATTATCCTCTGGAGTTTCAATGTAAAATCGTCTAATAGACCCATACTTAGCATCTGATAATGTAAGCTTCTCCAGAATTGGGGAGAAGGGAATTGGCCGCATCGACACTGCCGCTAAAGAAACATCCTGAACACATTGTGAATATAGAAAAGTAACATGGTAAGATTCTTAGACAGACAACCCCATTTCTAGAACACCAAAACTGAAAAACACTAACATCATGACAAGAAACTCATCCTAAGAACCCAACTAAAGAGCATACTACATAAAAATAAATACTTTTATTAATTCATGGCTTATCAGTTTGAGTATATGTGCCTATGTGGAACATCCACAACAAGAGCCTGTTAGGTACGGGTTATTCGGTTGGTAGGAATGAATCAATTGAATTTTCTGAAAGAAAAGCATTTCAGGAAACCATTTCACCCATTTATAAGTCAAAATATCTTACTTCTGCTTATTTTCAAATTTTCATTATAATGATGAGCAGCAGAATTATCCAAATTTGGACACTAAACGAGCTCTAAGTAGCATTTAGCTTATGCTGCGTTTGGTGGCATGATTTGTCTTATTCTTTTTATCAGGAGAATATGCAGCATAATAAGACTTGCTGATTTGGCTGAAATGATCATTACCAAAAGAAAAATCTTTTAAAAGAAGACCACAACATTCAGTCTTTAAGCTAAACAACCTTTTCCAAGCAGCCTTTCACTTATTTTCTAAAAAGTATTTTACCAAATGCATTATTTTTTGGAAAATTTAGCAGATTCAGCAACTCAAGCTAAATAACCCTACCAAACGGCCCCAAAATTTTCCGTTTTGGATGTAACCACTTCCTACTGTATCATGTTAATGAGACTAGCAGAGACGCAGCAAAATATCCAATAACAAGTTAAAACAACAGAACATACCTTAGCAGGACTCTGGTTAAATAACAAGTCCCTCAAGAATGATTTGTCCAGGTCAATGGCAGTGGGTTTACTACTCTTGCAATCACCGTAAATGAATCTTTGAGCTTGCATCATCAGATCATTTTCCTTTGTCTGCTAAAGTAAATATAAAAGTACTAGTTATTGTAAAGGCCACAGATTCAAGGCAAAAACATGAAACAGATATATGCATACATAACTTCAGCCAACAATTAGTCAATTACAAAGAAACGGACTTCTAGTTAAGAAAGCATTTACTCAAGAAATTCATAAAAATATTTTCCTGCAAATGGCTGCCATTCGAAACAAAAAGATGACATACATTTTGGGAGAACATATCAAGTGTACTCTGCCCATTGGTTAGCATAGCAGCAGCAATGAAAATAGCTCGGGAGACTTTTGAAGAGAAAAGCTCCATTGCATATGATATACAAGCACCACCGGAATCATGCCCTACCAAGATCACCTGTATATTCCAAAAAGATAAAGCATAAGGAGAAGAGATAAATTATTGTAAGTCATAAATGACACTTTTAGTTTATAACCTTTTTTGCAAGTTTACCCAAATTTATCAAACTAAACTTATCTGTTACTCTACCACAGATTCTTTTTTTTTTTTAAATTAATCTTCATTTGATCGAACAGGACTCACTTTTGGGACATAAAAGCTTTGGAAATGAGACTATTACTTATGGGAATGGAGGAAGAATATAATTAGACCGATATTCTTATGCTTCTTAGTTTTGACTTTAAGATAATGTCTCTTTATATTGAGTACTCTAGTCTTTCATTATCACATTTATCAGATCAAGGCAATTGAGAAAGCCATATGTCCTAAGGTGTTGCATACTACTCCTTCAATTGCCACATGCCAAATCGATACAAGAACAAATGAGAAGAAAACTGGAACATCAAAGTATCAAACATGCATCCAGAATTAGAAATCAGTGGTAAAAAATGCAATACTGTAATACGGAGTAATAGTTAACCTTTTGTCCATCAGCTAGTTGATCGAGAAAATCTGTAAGTGGCTTGACATACTGACAGAGACTTGTAACACAATTTGTGTCAAAGGAATGAACTCCAGACCCACTTAAATCTAGTGCGGTAACTCTAAATCCAGCAACTTCCAGAAGCGAAATCGTTTTATACCAGCACCAAGCCCCAAAACCACCGCCGTGAACGAGAACAAAATGGCTCGCCTCCAAACCATCAACACACAGTTCCTGTTGAATTGAGAAGAATACAAATAACTAGGCATTAGATTAAGAAAGCAGAACGTGAAAATTTGAGACCATGTTCAAACATATACCGAGTATGTTCAAACATATTCGGTTATAGGATTTCAACACCTTGCTTACAACTGACACTTCATTTAGATCATGCCCTCATTCATTTTTATAATCCATTCATCATCGTTATTCAGTTTTTTTACCATGGTTGTGTTTCTATACAAACGCAATTAGATTAAGACAGAGAAGGCACGACCTCACTAGTGAGTTGTTGAGACGGAGGCAATAGATCAGGGGATCGAGCCGTGGAGCTCAAACTTCGAGGAGACAGCTGATGATTCCTCCTAGTCGTCGATCTGAATAGCTGAAGAGTGGAAGCCAATGCAGAACTATCAGAGCTGGTCGTGCCGTCACCACTGCCGCCTCCGCTCTGCAACTTCCGTTGGCAGAGGATTGCCACCGCAGCGGCGGCAAGCTCATGGTCCTGAAACACGACGTCCTGCCTCCTAGTCGACGGATTTCTTCCTCCCGCGACCGATGTCGAACGGAACGGGTTTGGTTTCGGCCGCCGACGTTTCGCCGTCTCACTCCGGGATAAGCAGGGCCCCATTCAGGATAGTTCTCTGCTTCTCCGCTCCGCTATTACATGCAAATTCTGACACATGAGATGCGCGTATTCAACGGTATTTATAGGGACTCTGACTTTTGAAGCTTTTGGGCGGGGTTATGAAATGCCAATTAAAAAACGGTGTCTTATGAAAACGAAAGGAAATAGCAAGTTGGTAGATTCAGAAGAATTTGTGAATTTTTTGCTAAAAATAGCACCTTCTTATCCAATTCTTACTCATTTGGCATTAAAGTTAATTCATTGCTTATCTAATGTGTTTCTCTATTGTACTCTAAATTTTGAATTGAGAAATCCCTCCAAATAAGACTAAAATAATTCAAATTTCCTTTTCTCAAAATAGGAGTTGCATAATTTTTCTCAAAATATTACTCATACACTTCTATCTAGGGAAATTTGTAATCATCTATTCTTCTTTTTTAAGTCACAATTTAAGTAGAAAACATACATAATTTTATTTTAGAACTTTGCATATGTTTTAGTCTTATTTTAGGTAATATGTATTGCATTTTTCGTGTACAATTGAATTGAAATAATTGTTCCTCACAAATACACATCACATATAAGACTTTCTGAATGCGTAACATTTCATTTTATGCACTGGATTATTTAATAATAAAAATATGTATGATTGAAGTTACTTTTCTAGTCGAAACTATTATAGAGGATCATTTAATTAATTTCTCATATACTATTTCTTTATTTTATTAATAATATATACTACCTTCATTCTTTATTAATTGCAACATTGATGAGTTTTGCACTATTCACGTACTCTAGTTTGAATATATTTTATTTATTAGCGTATTATAAACTATTTCTCTGAAAAATATTGTTAAATTTCTCTCATTTTAAATTTTCAAAATATGAAATTTTTTAAGATTTTGTAATAACAAATGAAATATTTTAATGGGTAAAGTTGTGTGTTGGAAAATGTGAAAAGTGAACCTTTACAACTAAAAGAGAAAAAAGGAGGTATTTTTAATACGTAGTATAATTTTTTCATGATTAAACAAATTTAGCCAATTAAGCTATTCCACACAAAGATTCAACACACACTGCTGATTCAGACAATTTCAAATGTTACCAAACGGATTATAAAACTTTGTTTCGTGTACGCGGCGAACGAACTCTTTCATGCACGGTACACACCTAGTTTTGTTTATGCACATGTTTTTTCTTTGTTTTGTGTGAAATAAATTGTCGATGATTCAAACAAAATAAATTGTACGGGCATACACAATTCACTTACAAAAATGTACAAATTGTGCTCTCGAAATTCAATCAATAGTATGGATTACGGAGTAGTTTTTTCTTGTTCTTTTTTCTTACTCTGGCCCTTATTATTCTTTTATAGGATGGTCCCACACAGGTGCTAATGTGCTAGAATATATGCAGTGGCGGAATCAGAACAAAATTTGAGCAGGGGCTAAAAAAATTTTGAATCACTAGTTGGGAAGATTCATAATCTGTATCGTTTTAGGGTATATTTATGGTAATTTGATCTCAAATTACTATATAATATTATTTCCATTTGCATGAAGTAACACTTTATTTGTAACTATATATAATTCACACACAAGCGCACACATACATATACACATCAACTTAAATATCGACATTTATTCATTTGTATAACTGATTTGTTAGTGCCTAAACAAAATAATAGACTACATTTATTAAATGAGTTTATTTCGATTTAATACGCTTTCCCTTTTATTTTAGAATAAAAAGGTTTAAATAGAAATATAGCTAAACATGTAGAGGAAGATAAATTAATAACATACGGAGTATATATATAAGTTACTAACTTATCAAGAAAATAATAATTTTTTTCTCTTTTCAAATAGCGTTACAAGTAGGTTATTTATTTTTTAAAAGGATATTTTATTTTTTTGCAAAAGTATTACATGAATCTAATTATACTCATATAAAGTCAGATAGTTCAAATATCAACAAGAAATTTTGGCATATTTGTACTAATCCAAGGAATAAATATAAAATTCAAGTAGTTTTGAAAAGTTTATTGATAAACTTTTTATAAAATGATATAGGTCAATGTTTGAAGGGGGGAAGCAATAGCTAAAAGTCATTTTTTGTTGTTCTTGTACTAAACAAAAATGTAAATAACATGTTAATATTCGAAAAAGTACAAAATACGGAGTAAATATTTTGAATTTGAAAAAAAAAATGCAACATAAAAGTAAAAGAAATGTGGTAGGAAAAATATTAAAACTAATAACATTCCAAAACGTTAAGAGATAAGTAGAGGAAGAAGTGTAATGGAGTAAGTAATTTAAAAAGGAGACCTAGCAAGGATTCAAACACGGGTCTCCCCACAACTTTAAAACTGTTCAGCCATCTATGCTACTACAACTATTGAGTTAAACACGGGTCAGTTAGTACATATTATTATTGAGACGGGGCTGAGCATGTATATATACATATATATATACACTAAAACCTCCGGCGAACGGGGGGCGGCAGCACCGGCTCGCTCCCCCCTAGTTCCGCCCCTGAGTATATGGTTCGCCAAATATTATATTATTCAATCATTTCAATGTGATTTTTTTATGAAGGCAATGTGAGATTATGAAAATTTAAAATTATGTAGGTAAAATGATTATTTAGAGAAAGTTATAAGATTATCCGGTACATTAATAGATCAATAGTAATCTTACTTTTATTTATTACATGTGAAATTCAAGATAATCACATTACCTCAATATTACATTGTTTTGCCAAGTGAGGACAATATCAAATTACGCACTAATCATAAAGTTGAATAAAACATACTCCCTCCGGTTCTTATTAAAGTTCCCGCTTTCCTTTTTGGGATATCCCTTATTTAAATTCACACTTTCATTTTAGGAAACAAAACAGTGCAAAACAGTGCCAAACAGTGTCCAAACAATGCACTCTACAGTAAAGTCAAATTCATTTTCTTAATATGTGTGAAGTCAAACTGAGAGCTTAAATAATAACGGGAGGAAGTACTTCTCTTATGTACTATGATACTACGTACTAGGAGTCCCTATTACTTTTTCGGGTACTCTCTTACAACTCAAATCAAATCTAACATTAATCTTACAACTAGAACCAAATCTAACATTAATCTTACAACTCGAACCAAATCTAACATTAATTTTATAGTTTTTCATGGGAATCTAAAACAACTTGAATCATACAAACACCAAATAAAGTTCAACAAGTCTTGATTTACATCATTTTTGTATACTTGTTTGTGAATACAGATCAAATAAGTTTTATCTATTACGTAGTACTCCGTATTTTACATTTTTATACGAATTGGATTTTTATATAGATAAAATAGGAGTATAAAAAGGTGTACAAATGGAAATTTCCAACATAATTATACAAAAGAGTCCCAATATAATGTTCGAATCAAAAGACACATACGTACTTATGAATGTATTGCGTGTGGGGCAGAGAACACACCCAAAGCATCGTATATTCATCATTATTATTTTGACAAATTCCTCCTAATTTTAGCTCTTTTCTTTAAATTCATAACTAAACTTTTGACTAAATCTTCATGCCATTCATCACGCATTCAATGGGTTGGTTCTAGTAAAGAATACATCTTTTTCTCAACAGTTCTTGACTATCTACCAAAATCATCCATACTTCAATGCTTTCCCTGAATTTGTCCTATGTTATCTAGCTTCACATCCCAACTGGCCAACTGCCAGCAGTGCAGCTGATCAGGAGAAACATCAATCACTCCTACCCCATCTGTCCTTGAGGGTTTTTTGGAAGTTGATTTTTGGAGAGAAGGGGAAGGCATGTGAGGAAAATAAATCTTCCTATTTGTGTTTGGAAGTTTAAATAATATGAGAGAAATGTTTTAGGGGTGTTTTAAATCCTTCTAAACCCTCCAAAACATGGGTTTTCTAATTCCCTCGATTTGAGGGTTTTATAAGGTCTAACTACACAAATGAGAGATTTATTCTCTCAAACTAAAATCGTTTTCGCATAAAATCTTTATGAGTTGTTATTCGCTTCATTTCTCCGCCGTTGAAACCCCTCAAGTTTCCAAACCCTCCTCTTGAAATTTGCAACTCCCAAACAAGAGTAGGGAATCCCTTCCCATCTCCCTCCCCTTCCATTCTCTCTACTACCCTTCAAAGCCTCCCCCCCTCACCATCAAACTCCCAAACGCACCCGGAGGATTTTGCATGAGATTACCAGTAGACCAACTTATAAGACCTTATATACTCCGTATTAGTTTTGCCCGTTTAAAACAAACAATACTAAAATTATATTTTGTGTAATAAGTTGAGGCCACAAGTTGAAGATAGACTCGATCAGTGCACAATGTACTATCTTCGTCCCTTTTTATTTAATCAACTTTAACCTTTTCAATTTATTATGATGAATTTTGATCCATTATGTGAAACTTAATAAATTTATACTTTTATAATAGTATTTTAAACAAATAACATTTTCATATCATTTTCATATTATCAACATTTCCGTGTATAAATATATAATCAGTCAAAGTTTCATATCATTGACTGGGAAAATAATGTTTGACCAAATGAAAAGGGACGGATGGAGTATTATGTATGACTTCACTGTCTTAAATTAATTGACGTTCTCAAAAAGTGCATGGGTACTATTGGGCCCAAAGATTCTCCTTGAGATGGGCCAATAGCTTAAGTTTATTGATTAAACGTATCACTAACAGATGAGAATCGGAGAGAACGAATGAGGCTAGGAATCAGTCAAAGGAATAAGTCTAATCACAAGTCAAAACGGTTAGGAGTGGAGAGAAAATAGCCATGAGGTTGCAATGCTCGGGGAAAAAGAAAAATAGATACGTAGTATTAAATACATAGTGAGCCATCCATGTAACAGACAATCACTCACGATCAATCACTATTACTCATACGTTCTTGTTATACTTCTTATCTGTCCTTGAGGGTGTTTTTGGGAGTTGGATTTTGAAGAGAAGGGGAAGGCATTTGAGGGAAATAAACCCTCCTATTTGTGTTTGGGAGTTTAAATAATATGAGAGAAATGTTTTGGGAGTGTTTTAAATCCTTCTAAACCATCCAAAATAT